TGTTAGCAAAAATATGAAATTTCTCTCTACAGTTTTCAATTCCTAGCAACTTATTTATATAAACTCAAACAAACTTGGCTCGTTTCTTAAAATTGATCCGGTTCAATATTTAATTAATCCAATTAATTAAATTTGGTCCATGAATTAATTAATTCAATCAATTAATTCGGATCTATTAATAAACAACCCAATTAATTAATTATTCAACACTTGTCAATTAATTAATTGGTAATTATCATTCTTCTAGTTCCCATTTTGTGGGTGATCTATTAGGTTCCCAATCACAATACCCAATGACGTGAATTATTGTTTCAATCTAATCAAAATAGATTGATTAAAACATTCCTTTTAATTTATCACTAATTCACATTCGTAGTCCTAGATTGACGTCTTGCGATGTGTCAGGGCAATATATGTGACGAAAAATGTTACGTGGCATGACAAAACCAAACTTGTCTGTTTACTGGGAAACTATAATTCATTCGTCAAAATGATCTGATAAACTACGATATATGAAAATGTGTCAATTCTCAATTATCGATCATATTTTTCACTACACTATTAAGTCAATATAAGTTAAAAACTTATTTTCGACTTATGAGTATACCTTGGCCAATAATTTCATTACCAGCTTAACTGAATGAAATGTAGATTATAATCTCTTATTATCTAGTGACGAATCCTCTGTTGATCATTCACAACATTCATATGATTATTGACATACCCGAACGATGTCGTATTAGCGGCTCTTGGTAGAGTAATATCCAACATCTCCAAAGCATGATTGTCCTCATATAAGGCACTATGATAACCTCGAGTAAAATGACTAATTCCACTACCAAATATTAGAGATTAACTAATGACACTCATATAGTTATCCATGTGAAATCTCCTAAAAAATCTTCAATATTTTGTTCTATAACAGAACATATATTTGTTCATTTAAGTGTCATCACATTTTAGTGGTGAGATCACCTACTTACTTCAAAAGTAAGAAATGACACACGTGATGATATATCCGTAATAACGATGATCGTATCTCATTATTATTTACAACCACTGATGATTTAAGATTCAATCACATATAACTTGTATCTTAGAATTACAACTCATTATGATTAACAAATTACTGAGATTTGAATTTATGAAATCTATTATTTAATTTGAATTTATGAAATCTATTATTTAATTTAATTAAGTAGTAATTAAATAATACATTTGTCATAAAATTGCTTCAATTATATATACTAGAAGGCATAAAACTTATGGGTCAATTAGCTCCCGTTTGATCCTCATTAAATTCAATTACATTATATTCCATTTTTCTCTCTCTTATTTTCAACCACACAATCTTTCATAAAATAATATTACACGTAAATCGAAAACTTTTATTTCTTTCTCAACCATTCATTTTTCTAAAAAATACAATTTCTCCATTTTCATTTTCAGGTAATGGGGGTCAAACGGGGTCTAATAAACATCTGAATAGACCATCCAGCTTTGACCCAAACCCTTTTTACCCCACCACCGCGGCCACGAGCAGATTCCCGAAGGAGAAGGGGAATGTCAGTTAATGGCGCCAATTTTAACGGAATTGGTTAATTAAAGCCTAAATAAGAGAATCATCCCATTTGATACGTTATTTTTCCTCACCATTCCTCTCTAACCAACCCTTGCCGTCCCAGCATCTGAATCTTTCATCAGAATCTCACAATCCACAATTATTCAAAATAACCCACAAATCAAAATTAATCTTTTTGATCAAATGGACAGAAATTATTGGCTTCTTGATTTTCTCTGTCCATCCTTGTTCCATGGACGAAAACAGGGTATGTTACAAATCCTTAAATCTTCGTAACATAAAATTTTCGTTACATTGAATGCGTATGCTGATATAATATTTTCAGATTCATGCATAATTTGATTTATGTTTAGGAGCGAAACAATCAATCTATTGATAAAGAAAATTTTTGGGTCGAATGTTACGATTCCTTTGTCACCGCGGGATCTTATAGTTCTTTGTTAGGTGGATTCAAAGGTCAATCTCCTCAAAAGGGCCTGTTTATTTAGATATGAACTGTGATGCCAACATCTTCTTTTGGGCAATTATATGTTCTTGTATTATAAATAGAATTCATTCTGCTTCAAGTCTTGAATCTTATGTATTGGCTTGTGGCGCTTCAAGTAATGCCACTGATGCCAATGGCAGGAAATGGATTTCAGATACTGAATTCCTTAATGCCCCCGAAAAAACAACCTCGGCCACTGCTCAATCCCAAGATCCTTCTTTGCCTTCCCCTGTTCCATATATGCGTGCAAGAATTTTCCATTCCAAATCCTCGTATAAATTCTCCATTTCTCCCGTGAAACGACACTGGATTAGGCTTCACTTTTATCCCTCTTTCTACAACAGTTTGAACTGTTTTGATTCATTTTTCTCGGTGACTGTTGATGGCTTCACTCTTCTTAACAATTTTAGTGCATCAATCACGGCGCAAGCACTAACGCAGGCTTATATTTTAAGGGAATTCACGTTGATTCCAATAAAATCTGGTGCTCTCAGTCTCACATTCATTCCATCAACCAATTATGATAACTCTTTTGCTTTTGTCAATGGTATTGAGATAATTTCAATGCCTGAAATATTCGGAGTCGTGCCTTACGTAGGATTTTCAGATATGTCCATGGATGCTGAATACTATTCAATGCAGACTATGTATAGGTTGAATGTCGGTGGACAGTTCATTCCAGGAACTAATGACTCGGGGCTTCTACGAACTTGGTACGATGATTCCCCTTATATATTTGGTGCAGCCGAGGGTGTCTCCCCAAAGGCTAGTAAGAAAGTAAGAATTGAATATCCCTCTTCTGTTCCTAAATACATTGCTCCTGTTGATGTTTATACCACCGCAAGAATGATGGGGCCTAATCAAACTCTTAACTTGAATTTTAACCTCACTTGGGTATTCCAAATCGACATGAATTTCACGTATCTCGTGAGGTTCCATTTCTGTGAATATCAGTTGTCAAAGGCTAATCAGAGGGTGTTTGACATTTTCATTAACAATCAGACGGCGTATTCGGGTGCTGATGTCATTGGGTGGACTGGAGGTAAAGGAGTGCCCGTGTACAAGGATTTTGCAATACATGTTGATGATAAAAGTGGCGATGATCAACTGTGGGTAGCTTTGCATCCTGATGCAACATCTCAACCTGAATATTATAATGCAATTCTCAATGGATTAGAGATTTTTAAGGTCAATGACACAAAGGGGAATTTAGCGGGCATAAATCCTGTTCCATCACCAACACCTGAATCCCCGGAGAAAAGACCGGCTTTTTCCTCAAAGTCGAATAATCATGGCCAAACTGTTGGGATAGTTTTGGGAACTGTGGCTGGCTTTGGTCTAGTCGTTGCAGGAATTTCCTTTTTCAGGTATGGGAGAAAAAAGGTCGTGGAAGGAAACGGTGGCAGGAGTAGTTGGTTGCCATTATATGGAAGCTCTCGTTCTTCAGGCACAAAAACTAGTAAGAGTAGTGGGAGCAGCCGGTACACAAGTTCAGGTGGAGGTTTATGTAGATACTTTTCGTTACCTGAGATAAAACTTGGAACCAACAATTTCGACGATTCTGGAGTTATCGGGGTGGGAGGTTTTGGCAAGGTATATAAAGGCTACATTGACGGGGGTACTGTAGTTGCCATTAAGCGAGCAAATCCATCTTCCGAGCAAGGAGTTCATGAGTTCCAAACCGAAATCAATTTGCTTTCAAAGCTAAGACATCGTCATTTGGTGTCTCTAATTGGGGCTTGTGAAGAAGACAACGAGATGATATTGGTCTATGATTACATGGCTAACGGGACTTTAAGGGAGCACCTTTACAAGAATAGTAAGTCCAATTTGTCTTGGAATCAAAGACTCGATATTTGCATTGGTTCTGCAAGAGGGCTTCACTATCTTCATACGGGTGCAAAGCACACTATCATCCATAGGGATGTTAAAAGTACCAACATTTTATTGGACGAGAATTGGGTTGCTAAGGTTTCTGATTTCGGGCTCTCTAGAACTGGTCCAACCATCAATGAAACACACGTTAGTACAGTTGTTAAAGGAAGTTTCGGATATTTAGATCCAGAGTACTTTCGTAGACAGAAGTTGACAGAAAAATCTGATGTATATTCTTTCGGAGTAGTACTTTTTGAAGTTTTATGCAATAGACCTGCACTTAATCCTAATCTTCCTAAAGAACAAGTTAGTTTAGCAGAATGGGCAATCCTAAACCATCAGAGGGGCACACTTGATGCCATTATTGATCCACATATTAAGGGACAGATAACGCCTGATTGCTTTAAGAACTTTGCAGAAATAGCAATCAAATGTTTGTCAGATAATGGTGTTCATCGCCCTTCAATGGGCTCAGTTTTGTGGAATCTCGAGTATTCA